TGACCACAAAGGGGTGGTGTCTGTAGATGACCATGTAGATGCAAAGGCCTGGTGCGGAAGACCCTGCTTGAAGGGCCTCCCTAGACATAAGTAGAGTTATCAGAGCCATAAATTGGGTTATAAGGTTCCTAACTTAGGTCAGAAGTCCCTTAACTATAGTTAGTATAGGAAGGGGGGCCCCTCCTTGTAGAGCCAAAACCCCCAAAAGTGCCCGCAAAACTGCATGACCTTGCCAAGGTCGGGCTCCAATTGCCCTGCCATCACACGGAAACTGCCTTCAATCCCAACCAACCTGGAGAAACCCTAAAACCCTGAACCACTAAACCCTAAGACTTAAACCCTAAATAAACCCTGAACCACTAAACCCAAAGCCTTAAACCCTGAACCACTAAACCCTAAACCACTAAACACTAAACCCCTATAAACCCTGAATGGCATCGCTCCGGACTTGTTACAAGCTTGCAGATTTCTCGAGATGTTGTGGGATGTAGGGCTTGTACGGACAACCCTGAAAAGCCAACCCTCACAAGTTGCAGGCCTAGTGCCCAGGCATCTGCAGGAAAGCTGTAGCCTGGCCAGGAAAAAAGCTGGAGCGCAACAAAAGCCTTTGAGAGATCAAAAGCATGGACTATAAAATAGCATCCCCTCAATCCTATACCTAGACCTCTACGTTCTTGTGGTTTCTGTTTTTTGGGCGGCTTCTCTATTTATGATACTAATACCATATGGTCTTGTAATCTATGCGCCGAAAAAGGGTACAACCCTAACCCTAAACCCTAAACCCTGCTACGGGGCTTCAGGGTACAGCAACCCATCCTTGGGGGGTGCAACCCGTCCTGGTAGGGTATCATCCGTCCTGGTAGGGTAAGGATCCATGTACCCATATGGTATATACTTGGGTCTTAAAGGGGCTCCTATATAGTGAGTTTTCAAAGTGAGACGGGCCGCATTCTAATCAGGACCCCAAAAGGGGCCATATTTTCGAGACGTGATCACAAATTGTAGCTTTGGTACTTCTTAACCCCATCATAAGTGTACTTATTGCCCACTTATAAGCTCCTTAAGTGCCCCAACAGGGTTCTAAGTACAGTTATATGTATTGTCATAATTGGTAAATAAGTACCATGAGACTCCAAGTAGGGGCAGGGTCTGTGCTTCTGGGTTTGATGTCGAAGGGGCTCTTTAGATCAATTTCCGATTGAGGGACCATCGACTGTTCAGAGCTTGCCTTGCAGCTTGCAAGGTCCAACATTTAGGGTTTAGACCCACGCTGCAATATGGCCACTCGCGCACCTCGGCTCTTGCGAGGCCTCAGGGCAAGAAGGGTTTCGAACTTAGGGCTTGGGGTTTAGGGTTTAGGGTTTGGGGTTTAGGGTTTGGGGTTTAGGGTTTAGGGTTTGGGGTTTAGGGTTTAGGGTCTCGGGTAGTTCGCTTTACGACTATGCGGGTCTAGAGCCTCATAGTTAAGGGTACTCGGAGTCCCCCACCCCACCCAGTCTTGACAATGCGGTACTCAAGGAGCCCTGTATGCCCCCAGAATGTATAAGGAATCTCATCAAATCTGAAATAGGGATCATTATTGTGTTTTAAGGTGTCTTCCTGAAACTTACAGGGTATAAAGGTCTCGTTGGGTAGGACCTGTTGTGGGTTTGGGTTCGGGATGAGTTTCGGGCGCCATCTACACCCTAAACCCTAAACAAAAACCCTAAACCCCGAACCCTAAACCCTGAACCCTACCAAGCCCTTCTACGGCCACAGGAGCCCGAGACAAGCTGAGATTCCGAGCAGCAAGTGAAGCTCTGGAGACCTCGAGGCCCCATCTTGAGTGTGTTTAGGGTTTAGGGTTTAGGGTTTCGCCACCCGCACTGCGCGCGCATCAGCACCCGCTCCGCAGGGTGAAGTCGAGGTCTCCGGGAGAGGACACACCAGTAGGAGCGCGTCCGAAAAGTTTGCGGACCCTGGGGGCCCCCTTCTTGAGAAGGTTTGTGTCATTAACAGAAACCTTCTCAAGAAGGGGGCCCCCAGGGGGTTTAGGGTTTAGGGTTTCGGGTTTAGGGTTTAGGGTTCAGGGTTCAGGGCATCTGTGAAGACATTCACGTGCGCTTCAAATAAGTAGAGTCGCTCAGGGGGGCTTTGGGGTTGTGTTCTTTCCGCTGGAAGCATTGGGGTCCTGTACTTGCCTTCGGCAAACTTGGTGATGCACCAAGGAACTGCTTCTTCGTGCTATCTACATATCCCGAAACCCGGTAGTTTTCCAACATCCGGCAAAAAGAGCCGGGTGCAACAAAGCTCACGTTTCGGAACACCGTCGGTCTGGGAACCCTTTTTAATTAAAAGCCCAAGTATATACAACATAGGTACGTGGATTCTTCGTCAATCTTAGTCACATTTGCGGATGCGTAGCAGCCATTGCAGAAGTAGGTGTAGCCCATGGGTGCAGTAAGTCCCGAAGACTCCTGTTTGCTTAAGAACCCCCAACAGACCCAACAGAATATAAGATAAACATCCCTACGTTGCCCTTATAGGGAAGATTGTTTTTGTCGGGGGGGGGGGGGGGGGGGGGGGGGGGGGGGGGGGGGGTTCTTAGGCAAATAGTGAAGAGCAAAGTCTGAAATCGAAAGAGCATCTGCCTCTCATGGTTGCGTGAGTGGTTTTGACCCCCAGCGCCAACGGGGTCCCCACATGAACGCCGGAGTTCCGCAGCGCTCACCTTTCAGAAGGGTTCAGGGTTTAGGGTTTAGAAGGTTTGGCCCGGACTGTGCCTGGATACGTGAGAACTGAATTCGGTTGCCCAGTAACCTAGGATTAAAACGGGTGCCCTCTTGATGCTTAAAGGGGATGATAAGGAACCCGAATTAAACACTTCAAGGGGCTTGCAGGGCAACCTATGGCCTACAAAAAAAGGGGAATAAGGTACTACTGGGCACCCTTGACCTGGATGTATAGAGGCGTAGCATCGACAACTACGAGCCCTGGAAGGATCCAAAAAGCCCATCCCTTTAAGGGTTCCTATTGATGGCCCAATAGCACTATGGGTTTAGGGTTTAGGGTTTGGGGTTTAGGGTTGGGGTACTTTTTTTTTTTTGGGGGGGGGGTTCTACTTTTTGGATTCGCCCAGGGGCCTGGGTGGGCATGAGCCTTGCAACCCATGCAGGGCGGTGCATCCATTCCAAGCCCAGTTGTCGAGCAAGTGTTGAAAAGACCTTAAACCCTAAACCCTAAACCCTAAACCCTGAACCCTGAAACCTAAACCCTAAACCCTAAACCCTAAGCCCTAAACCCTAAACCCTAAACCGTGACCTGTACACTCAATACTCTAGTCATTTAGGGCTCTGGGCCGCTTGGGAATTGACAGCTTTCGGACAAGGAAGCTTGACAAGTTTGTAAATATACGGGTGGCCCAATCTCGCGCAGCCCTTGTCCCTTGTGTTTTCCCGGGCCGGTAGATGCAGGACATGAACCAATGACCCTAAACCCTAAACCCTAAACCCTAAACCCTAAACCGGTAACTAGTAACCCTAAACCCTAAACCCTAAACCCTAAACCCTAAACCCTAAACCCAAAAAAAAGCAGCGCGTCCGAGGTGATGACTCAGTACTTGACCTTCGGGCCTGGGCAGCTGCCACGGTAGCTTCAGTAGCAAAGTAAACGCACACCCACGTGTAAGCTCTTTTGACCTAGTTTAGGGTGCATAGGGTTTAGGGTTTAGGGCGTACGGTTTAGTGTTTAGGGTTCGTAAGTCCCCTAGAATTATAATCCCCATATAGCCCACCTTACTCATATCGAATCTTACTTGCGCATTAAAGCTGATTTAGACATGTACTGGGGTCGTACTCAAACTCCACTGGGCTCTAAGCATGATACCTTCGAGACAATGCTAGCCAGCACGCAAGTTCAAGGTGAAATCACTTCATGGCTGTGGAAAGGTGTATACAGGCCTATGGTACTTCAGCAGGCGCCATGAAGATATGCACATAATATATCAACGAATCCGCCAGTTTTTGGGTGTGAGACCCCCAACCCGGGGTGTTGAAACAAACTTGAGAAGGTCTTCGAGTTGCTAGGCAAAATCGTCGGTTTGAAGACTGAAATTGCAGATTGGGTTGGAGATTGAAGATTGAAGATTGAAGATTGAAGATGGGAGATGGAAGATTGAAGGCTCATGGTTTAAGATTGGGCATCTTGAGTCTTCAAACTTCAAGCTCAGAGTTTGTCCACAAACTTGAGGTAATGACCCAAGCTCTTCAAAACTTATAACTGAAGATTGCAGCCCGGAGCTTCCTCCCAACCATTTCCTGGGTATCCTCAAGCCCAAAACTCAGACACACTCACACACACACACACTTAGGGTTTAGGGTTCAGGGTTTAGGGTTTAGGGTCTAGGGTTTAGGGTTTGGGGCTTAGGGTTTAGGGTTTAGGGTTTAGGGTTTAGGGTTTAGGGTTTAGGGTTTAGGCACCTGGGGCCCTGTGATGACGCCGCAAGCCTCAGATTTGAGACATCTGGTGTGAGCCATGGGATGTCTGTAAGCAAGTGCCAAATCATACACACTCCTACGTACACACACACACACCCACACACACTGCAAATATTGAACTGTGTATCATATACGAATGCAACTATAGCATGCATCTATATCTATATCTATATCTATCTAAATTGAAAAATAAATGTGAAACTGAAGTGGGCACACATAAATAAACAATCCAGGTGGGAACGCGGAACAAAAGGCAGGTACATGGGTGGCATGATGTGTAAACATTGCCGCGTTCCTGCATTTGCTTTTTGGTAACATTTCATTGATGTACAAATCTTGGTTGCTGAGTTCATCAAGCGCCCCCCCTCAAAAAAAACAAACAGGTGTACACTTTTAGTTTTGCAGAGATTATAGTATCCCAAAAAATGTAAAGTGTACTCACTCAGCTACTAAGAAATATGCCTTACCTATTTGTTCGGGAGATGCTGGGTAGAACCCAGGTTCCCTAACAGCGGAAGTATGGGGTTACTGAGTACTGAGCCCTGTGCCTCGTGTTTAAGGTCTAGGATTGTGTGGTTTTCCCGCAGGTGAAGGCACCAGTACAGCATGGAAACTGGGATTTCAAGGCACCTTGGGATCCTAGGGAAGCTTAGGGACTTAGGGAGTCTCCCCCTAAACCCTAAACCCTAAGCCCTAAGCCCTAAACCCTGAACCCTAGGGAGTAGTGGGGAGTTTTAGAGAACCTTGGGCTACATAGCCGGAAACCCTGAAATCCTGAGCACTTGGCAGAAAAACGGCCAAGCCAAAGTCGGACAGCTTGAGCCTTGGTTCCCAGAAAGAAGTTTAGGGGTTTAGGGGTTTAGGGTTTAGGGGTGTAAGCTTGGAATGTTCCCCCTTGTACTGACAGTCCGGAATAGGGATTTTTATTCCCCCCCCCCCCCCTACCCGTATTGTAATCCCTATTCAGGAGCTGTTAGTTCTAAGGGGAACATACTGGACCCACAGCCCAGTGCAAATCTGGCCCTAAACCCGGTTCATAGAGTTGAGGGTCGAGAACCCTAAACCCTAAATCCTAAACCTTAAACCCTAAACCCTGAAATTGAGAGTTCTGGGTGTGCAGAAAGCACGGCCCAACGAACCCGACCAGCCGAGCACCGGGAAGCAATGGAACTCCCCCATGACTCTTCAGCAACTGCGACTCATCCAGCTAAACCCTAAGGGTTTAGGGTTTAGGGTTTGGGGTTTAGGGTTTCGGGTTTAGGCTCTCACGCTAGCTGTCGCGGGCAAGGCTCCGGTAGGTTTAGGGTTTAGGGTCTATATAGACCCGCAACCACAAAACTCAAAGCCCGCCCACCCCCTCCCCCAACACCCCCCCCCAAAGCGCTTTGTAGCTTTGGGGACCTTATCCCTAAACCCATCCTGAACCCGCCCAACCCAGAGCACCCTTTCTTGGAAGGCATGCGGCGGGTGGCTCACCTTTTTTTTGCTCGAAAGCCATGGGTAAACCCCTAAACCCCTAAACCCCAAACCCTGAACCCCAAAGCCTAAACCCTACAAGTTCTCTAAATGAAACCCCACCCCTCCCCCGCCCCCCCCTTAAAATGGGGGGGGGGGGGCGGCTAAACCCTAAACCCTGAACCCTAAACCCCAAACCCTAAACCCCAAGAAGGGGGGGGGGGGAGTGCGCTCCAGGGCCGCCCCGCATGGAGTTGCGTGTGAGCATGTAGTTCTGCGGCTTCAAGTCTCTGTGACCTTAGGGGTTTAGGGTTTAGGGTTTAGGGTTTAGGAAAGTTGCTGGGGGCTTTCGGGTTTCGGGTTTCAGGCTTCTAAAGAGGTCCCAAGGGTGCGGGATTTAGGATTGCAGGGCTTTTGGGGAGTCACGAGGACCCTAGCCCTAAACCCCAAACCCTCAACCCTATATGGATGAAGGCAGCCTGAGCCCAGAGGAACCAGCGGACCCTAACCCGGCTGAGTATCATGGGTTCCCCCTACAACCCCCCCTCTATACTACGGCTATTTAGGGGTAATTGAGCTTAATCCAGGTTGTTTAAGGGGGGGAACCTATGTAATAGTATAGAGGGGGGATAGTAAGTGAAACCCATCAATGAGCAGCAAGAGTGCTGCTGAAGACTCATCTCCAAGCAAAGCCCTTTTAGGATGCCCCTAAGCCCCAACCTCTAAACCCTACCGAGGGGGCAGCAGGTCCTTCACTTCAAGTCGACTTCAACCCTAAACCCTAAACCCTAAACCCTAAACCCTGAACCCTGAACCCTGAACCCTGAACCCTGAACCCTGAACCCTGAACCCTGAACCCTGAACCTGAACCCTAAACCCTGAACCCCAACCCTTAGGTCAGTCCACAAACGGTGCGTGAACGAAACAGGCCAGAGCCAGGACCCAAACGCTGCAAGGTGGAATCCGGCACCCTACACCCTTCTGCTGTAAACCTTCTAACCCTACTCCTTATGGCGCAAGAATATTCAAACACATCAACATGAAGTATGGTTCCGGAGCACCCTAAACCCTAAACCCTAAACCCTAAACCCTAAACCCTAAACCCTAAACCCCAAACCCTAAACCCTAAACCCCCAGCCCCAGCGGCCGGCCAGAGGCCGGCCTCTGGGGCCCCGGCAAATCCGGATGCCGTGCAGCGCAGCAACGGCTGCGCACATCTGCCTCGACCTGGGAAGAGGGGAGGGCCCAAGATGCCCTTTCCCAAAGGCTCCAATGTAGTTCCTTTTTTGGGTTAGTTACAGGGGGATCCTTCACAATATTACTTAATTAAGCTTACCCAAAGGCTCCAATGTAGTTCCTTTTTGGGTTAGTTATAGGGAATACTAGTATACTACCCCAAAAAGGTACTACATAGGAGCCTTTGGTTGGCTGTATTCAGGGATAACAGGAGGGACCCCTAAAAGGGACCCCCCCTTATCTTATTCCCCTATATAAACCCTATATACCTATGTCGCCCCCTAGATCACCCCTAGGGTCTTATAAGCGTCCCTCCTTTAGTCCCTGTGACTGTGGGGGCTTACTTCATTGGAATGAGCATCTTGGATCTTCCAAACAGACAAGGTGTGTAAGTGGACACTCGTGCTACATATTGGTGTGCCTGTAATGCCTATGTCTCTAGCAGCCAGGGAATCCCAGGACTTTTGCGCATAACAAAAATATACATATGAATTATATAGATGCATGCATATATGTATATATGTGTGCATATGTCATTTAGTACCATCATCCTATGATATTCAAAGGCTAATGCCAACTGCGAGTACAAAAAAACAAAATATGATCATAACATGATGTGATAAGGTGCCCACCAAGTTTCTGAAGGGCCAGCAGGTTCAATGATTGGCTCTGACATGAGTCTCGAAACTATCCCAGTGTGACCTCGGAACTTGAAAACACAAAAATCTATGCTGGTTTGCTTAAATCACAAGGGAGCTTAACCCCCAAACCCGAAACCCTAATGCAAAGGAATAATGGCTCCGGGACCTAAGTTAAGGTGCGGCCCGAGTTGGCTATGGCCGCTACCATTCCGCCAGCTGTTCTTCGTGGACATTGCTCTTTGAGCCAATGACCTCGGAAATCCGGGACGGTACAAGATCCCAGAGAGCCCCAATACGCCTTAATTGAAGAATAGACCTTAAATTATATAAAGGGATCCTTAATATGACTTAAGGGATATTCCTTAATTAAGGGGTATTGGGCTCTTTTGGATGGGTACCAAGAAGAGCCGCAAGACCGAGGAATGAAACAGCTCGTACATGCGGAACATGTGCCCACGTTCTGCACTGGTGAAGGAACCCCCCCCAATGTTTATGTTAAACAAAGAAGTAGGGTTTTCGGTGGTGAAGGAACCCCATATTGAACATACGAAAAATAAGTGTAGGGTCTTCGTCTATAGGGCGGCTAGGTTCCCCCTCGCGCTCCAGGGAGGAGGGAGGGGGTGCAGAGTCCACAACTGAGGGCCTGGCCCGATCACCGATGTCACCGCCTGGTCTCGGGCTTGGGGTACTCTTGGGGTTCAGGGTTTAGGGTGTATGGTTTAGGGTACTGTAGGAGTTCAGGTGTTGCTTCTGGCAGCTTCGGAAGGTGGACAAAAAGTCAGTTTTGAAGAATCAGATAGGGTGTTTAGGGTTTAGGGTTTAGGGAGCACCTGGGACCAAATGTGGCTTTGGAGCCCCCCCCCGTGTGAGCGAGGCCCCAGACCGGCCTGCATGGGCGATTATACCCGAGAACTCCTTGAAAAGGCCCCTTATAGGGTTGGTTAGGGGATTAGAAGGCCGAATAGCCCATGCTGGTGAACGGTATCATGTGGCTTGCAAGATGGTTTACGTTTGCTGCCGAGGGTTGAAGGGAACACTGCATCAGAAAGCTTCGCCGCGGCACCTTCACAGCACTCCATGACCAAGTAGACGAACTTTGCGTCCTTCCAGGGAAGGGACAAGCTAAGTTGGTCCTTAATAAATAGGGATTATAGTAACCCCCTATTCTGATCCCTATTAAGGACCTTTCGTATAAGGGAACATCCCAAGGGACAAGTGTAACTCGCGACTCCGGAGAAAAAAACACATCATCAGTCAAGAAGCCCGCCGGAGGGGGGGGGGGGGAGAAAACAAAATGAGGAGCAATCACATTTTCCAAACAAGCACCCGAATATCGCATGCATTGCTCAACTTGAGCATCGTCAGCCAGCAACTTCCCCAAAGTCCATGTACCTGCATAGTACCCAAAGAGCCCAATACCCCTTAAATAAGGAAAATTCTTTAAATCGAATCAGATTAAGGATCCCTGTATAATTTGAAATATTCTTTCATTAAGGAGTATTGGGCTCTCTGGGTATATACTTTTGCCTGTAAAGGTTCCCGTATCGTAGCTTTAAGGCCAAAGACCTTTGGCAGCACCACTTCTACCAAAGGCTCCGTGTCCCTATGTAGTAACCCTAAACCCTAAACCCTAAACCCTAAACCCTAAACCCTAAACCCTAAACCCTAAACCCACCCTTCGGGCTCAAAGGGGTTCTCATGACATAGCTTTCGGGCCAAGGATCTACGATGAAGGCATGGTCAGTTCTCTAAACCATGGTCCCATTTTGGGGGCTTTTAACACAGCATGAAAGGGCCCTTAAGTAATATATTACGGGCGTCATAATGGGGTATCCTAAATAAGAGGGGCGCCTTATCATAAAAGGACCCCAAATGGGACCTTAGTTTAGAGAAGTCACCATACTCGGAGGTTCATGGTGCGTATTAACCAATTGTAGCTGTACTTATGTCCACTTCTAAGCCCCTTAAAGTTCCCTAGGATGGTTATGAGTGCAGTTAGAAGTACATTTCTAATTGGCTCATAAGTACCATGAAACCTCCAAGTATACTCGAGAAACGTAGAAGGGCCCCTAGGTTCGACTTGCTATCGGAATTCCGAGCATGTCAAGCATAGTGGCTGCAGCACTGATCACTGATGTTCTTGAATCTTGAAACCTGGGGTTTCTCCCACTTAGCTGCTGAGTTCATAAGTTCATAAACACCCAAAAAAGCGTAGACCTTCAGTTCTATAAGGGGATTAGAGTATCCCAAAAAGTATAACGTGTACTCACTCAGCTACTGAGCCCAAAGAGGGGTCTTCCTAATGTACGTCAACACGGTAAATGCTTATTTCCCGGGCCCTGCTCTTGGCTCTGCTCTACCTGGAGCAACCTTTGTGCCTTACAAAAAGGGCGTCTTATAAAAAAGATGGCGGTTTAGGGTTTAGGGTTTAGGGTTTAGGGTTTAGGGTTTAGGGTTTAGGGTTTAGGGTTTAGGGTTTAGGGCGAAGGTCTAAAGGATGCTCCAGACAAAGTGCCTTCAATTCTGCTTCTGTCGGCCTGGAAGACGCCAAACAGCTGCGCGATGTTCTCGTGTTGACAAGCTCGCATCATCACAACCTGTCGCCAGAATCCATTTTTCTTCATGCGCTGCACCTATTTCAACCCAATGAGCCCAATGTACCCTAGCTTTTATAGGGATCCTGAGCATGATTTAAGGTAACTTCCTTATTTATGGGGTATTGGGGTATTGGGCTCTTGAGGTTTCTTTACTTCATTCCATTCGCCAGACAGTGGATACCCCAATTCAGGAACGACGACTTGTGGTCTAAGGAGTGGTGCCCTGACCAAGGAATATGCCTTGAACCATCTTCAGGATCCCTACACTCGACCCAAGAAAAAGGGTGGCCTTTTTGGTTTCAAGGGGCTTCTACGGGAACCGAACCTCTTAACACAAGGGCCTAGCCTGGGTCCCAGTATATAATTTAGGACTTCTTCCTTAAGTAAGGGCTTAGTTGTCCAGTAGCCTGGGGGAACTAAAGGTTAACCTTTGGGCTGCTAAGGGGATTATATTCCCCTAAAAAGGTTAAAGGTTACTTACTCTACTACTAAGAGGGGTCTTTGGGCTCTCTGGGTCGCAAGCCAGGACCACTGACTGCCTAAGAGCCCAGCCAAAAAAATGAAAAAAACATCTTCCTTACAAGGGCAATACAGGGATTATCCGAAACCCTAAACCCTAAACCCTAAACCCTAAACCCTAAACCCTAAACCCTGGACCCGTCATTTTTTTCTGGGCTTCTTAAGCAAAACAGTAGGAGGCAGGGCAGCTCACCCCGAGCTTTGGATGCCAGCCACTGGCCTCTCGCTCGGTGTTGTGTCGGAGCTTGCCTCCTGTCGGGTGCACTTCTTGGTAGCCCAGTAAGCATATTCTAATAAAAGCACCGATTTTTGGGGGTTGGTTACTTTAGAAGAGAACCCGGAACGAAAAAAAGGGGTAAAGGGCACCACCGGGCTACCAAGACTGCTGCTAAGCCCCACCCGACACAGCAACGGGTTTCGGGTTTAGGGCTTAGGAGTTTAGGGTTGGTGCACGTTTCTAAGCCCTACCCGCCCTGGGGCGAAGAAAGAAAGAAAGAAAGAAAGGTCAGGGTTTGCGCTTCAGGTGAGGATCTGGGCACAGGCGCGGAGCAGGCGAGCCGGGTGGTTGATGCATAGTCGGCCGAAATACGAGGCAGGCCCTGTAAACCCCCTGAAAACAACCTAAATGACATCCTCTCAAACCAAAAAGGTCCATCAACAACAGAAACATCAAGCAAGGTCCTCTTATGCACACAAGGTCGCCTCATGCACACCCAACATGCGCAGAACCTTGCTTAAACAGCTATGGGACATGTGTCAGAAGCTCTACGAATTTGAGGGGTTGCAACCCTTTTTCAGCACGGACTGAGGAGGCTGCCTGCCGTACAACCCTGAACCCTGAATCCGGAACCCGAATCCCGGGGTTGAGTAGTTCCGAGTTCCTGAGGCCACTGAGCCACAAACCCGAAAAACACCCTGTGAAGACAAGCTTAAAGAGGGACCCCTAGAAGGGACCCTTAATCTTATTCCCCTATATGAAAACCTCATAACCTTAAACCCTAAACCCTAAACCCTAAACCCTAAACCTATACCTTATATAGTGCCTATATACCTAAGTATCCCCTAATGAGCCCGAAGCTTGCCACAAGAGAATGCGCCCATGGAGCGCCTTGGCTCAACTTGGCCTCCCAGGTCAAGTGACTGCAGCCCTTTTAGGGTTTAGGGTTTAGGGTTTAGGGTTTCGGGTTTAGGGTCTGGGTTGGGATGTTCACCCTACAACTAACAGTCCTTAATAGCGATTCTTGCACTCCCACTTATGCTTAAGGACTGCTAGTAAAAGGGGGAACTTCTCAACGTTTAGGGATTAGGGCTCTTAAAGTGGCCTGTTGCAAGGGTTTAAGGTTTGGGGTTTGGACGCCTAGAACCACCCTTATCTTTCACCCTGAATACGGAAGGCGCGGGCCCCTTCTTCTGGTCTTTCGCAGGTGCAGTTTTGGGGTTTAGGGTACAAATGGCAGGGTTTAGGGGTTAGGGTTTAGGGTTTAGGGTTTAGGGTTTAGGGTTTAGGGTACAAATAGGGTATAGTTCGGGAATGTTTAGGGTATGGCATGATGAGGGTATGTTTAGGGTACAATTCGTGTACAGATGCACCGGGATGTGCCTCTGAAACCGCAAGCCCGAGACGGGACCACACCGGAAGCCCAAAATGCTTGCCAAACCCCGGAGGTCCTTGGGTACCTAGCCTCACACATGTCTTAAGCCGGTCCAAGGTCAAAACATGCTCACTAAGGGGGGTTTAGGGTTTAGGGCTTAGGGACCCTTGACCTTGTTCTCCTATGTATCCCCTGCATAACCCCCAAAAAACTAGGCGCTCTAGCATCCTAATTAAGAGGTCCCTAGGAAGCACAGGGAAGTTCACCCCTCCCTCAAATCCAGCGCCCCCCCCCCCCCCCCCAAAGGCCCAAAGTTTAAGGTTTGGCTTGGGGCTGAGGACCCTTCAATCATATACACGACCCAAGCTAAGTTCACCAAGGCGCACTCCTTCATTGGGGAGTCGTGTGGCTCTCTGGCTCCCTGGGGCCCCTAAACCCTAAACCCGAAACCCTAAACCCTAAACCCTATGCGCGCCCTGAACCTTGAAGCCTCAGAAAACCCTACACCCAAAACCCCAAAGCCTAAATGCGTTTTGCAAACTGGGCTCTACACGACTGCAAGGAAAAGCACGGCCAAAAACCCTGAAACCTGAAGCCCTAAACCCTAAACCCTAAACCCTAAACCCTAAACCCTAAACCAACCCGAAGCCACCTTGCTCAGCTGCTTGATGGCCACGACGCCGCTGGTCTTGTGGTCGGAGCCCTTCCAGACCGTGCCATAAGCACCCTGCCAAGCACAAGGAAGCTTGGGTTGGAAGAGGTTTAGGGTTTAGGGTTTAGGGTTTAGGGTTTAGGGTTTAGGGTTTAGGGTTTAGGGTTTAGGGTTTAGGGTTTAGGTTCACCTTATTGAGGAGCCCCGGGTTCTTAGTAGGGAATGAGGGAATGAGGGCCCTATATCATCCCTTAAAGGGAATGAGGGAATGTACATATATATATATATATCCTTTAAGGGATGATATAGGGCCCTCATTCCCTCATTCCCTACTAAGAACCCTGCCAGCACAAGGAAGCTTGGGTTGTAAGGGGTTCACCTTGCTTTGGGGTGGTTTCCGAATATCAGAGGCCCATTATAGACCCCCAAAGAGTAGGATCCCCCCTTGTCATAAAGACCCCAATACTAAGGTATCCCGAACTTCGGAAACCCTGATCGGGGATTTTTCGGGTTTAGGCTTCAGGGTCCTCTTATGTTGGCTCTCACGGCGGCTTGTTTGGGTTTAGAACTTACGGTTAGGGTTTAGGGTTTAGGATCGCACACGCAAGGACAGGCTCAGGCACTTTTGTGCACACCGCTACTGCTCTACCGGCCACCTGTCAAATTGTCTGAGCACCAGCAAACACCTAGATTGAAACCTCCTGTCTTGAGTTTAGGCTTTGGGACTTGGGCTTCGGGTTCTAGTTCCCACCTCTGGCGTGTGAGCATGAACAAGTTTCTTGTCTGCCACCTGCCTAGCTGACAGGGTCGTACTGCCTTCCACGTGCTCAGGAATATATGCGTACGTCAGGTACTCCGCATGGTGTCGCATCAGGGCTTTGGGGGGTTCAGGGGGTTCAGGGTTTAGGGCTGACCGCCTGGCCCAGAATATGCCCAAAGAGCCCAAGACCCCTTAACTAAGGAATAGATGCCTCAAGTCATAAGAAGGACCCCGTTTTTTATCATTTAAGGTAGATTCCTTAATTATTCATAGATATTGGGCCCTCTGGAGACCACAGGAGCCCTCAAAGCTTGGGCTTAAGTCCCGCCTCTCCCAGCTTCGTCTTGCCCAGACAGTAGTTGTCGGTCAACCTCCACACACCCCATCTAAGGGTACAAGGAGGGGCCCCCTTTTACTATACGAACTATAGTTACGGGACTTGTAACATAATTTAGGATCCTTACAACCTAATATAGGATCCTTATATATAACCTAATTTAGGATCCTTATGACCTAATTTAGGATCCTTATAACCTAGTTTAGGATCCTTATAACCTAATTTAGGATCCTTATAACCGAATTTAGGATCCTTATGACCGAACTTAGGGTCCTTATAACTCTACTTATAACTAGTGGAGCCCCTCCTTGTAGGTACATGGGCCCTTCCTACGGTCCCTTACCCTCCTTGAAACGGTTCTGATGTATGGGCCCTGAATTTTTATAGGGGACAAAAGGAGACAATGAGTGGTACCCTTTTTAAGGCGCCATACTAAGGGACCATGTTCCAACTACCCTTAGACCCCAAGAGCCCTTTATACCCAAGCTGCGGAGTCCCCTGGCCCAAAAAAGGCTTAACGTCTCAATATCGTAACCCCGCTAAAGTGGATGACCATACCCATGCTGGAAGCCCTAAACCCTAAACCCTAAACCCTAAACCCTAGACCCTAAATGCCTTCAATCGTGTAAGTGGCAGCTTGCCGCTTCCCTAAAGTCCTTCGAAACTGCAAAAATCTTTCCGGGGTTGGGTTGGGGGGGGTTGCGGGTTTAGGGTTTAGGGTTTAAGGCTTTAATCCGCAAACCCCAACCTTGGGGTCCAAATGAACCCTAAACAAATTGGGTGGTCATATACCCTCTACGACTGGAATCCCTATGACGGTATATGAGCCACAAACCCTAAACCCTCAACCCTTCTAGGGTTCATGTGGTCCCCCAAACCCCAAACCCCAAACCCTAAACCCTTAACCCCCAAGGCATGACTCAGTCCCCTGACGGAGGGAGCTGCAGCGCATCTTTGGCCGGAGATTGGCCTTGGCCTTGGTGAACTCATGAGATTTTGTTTTTTTTTTTAATATGTGTTTTTGTTTGTTTGTTTGTGGGGGGGGGGGGTGTTAGGGTTTAGGGTTTAGGGTCTAAGGTTTAGGGTTTAGGCTTTTTTTAATGCAATGACTCCCTTTCTCCAAGCAAGCCCGCCCATATAAGGGCATGCACTGTAGACCCCAGCATTAGGGTTTAGGGTTTAGGGTTGTTTTGTTTGGGGGGGGGGGGGGTTAGGGTTTAGGGTTTATAAGGGTTTAGAAGGTTCATGAGGGAGTTACTTGGAAGCCCTTGGGCTTTCGGGATTAGAAGAGGGTTTCGAGGGGATACTGAGTAGACCTACTAAGCCAAAAGAGCTTCCGAGTATACTACACTTCAACTGTCTAAGAAAAAATCCCGAAGGAAGCTGCAGGTAACGCGGAGTATGGGGAAATCAGAAGAGAAAGGCACGAGGCTATCGTCCTACAATCTTCAATCTTGCCATCTTTGGCCGTATCCTTCAGCAAGAACAGCCTTAAACCCCTTCTTTTGATTCAGGGCTTCTGAGGCAGCAGCCCTAAACCCTAAACCCTAAACCCTGAAGACCCCTTTTCCCTAAACCGAAAGAGCCCTCACCCGCCCTAGCCCGTCACTAGCCTTAGCACCAATGGAGCCACTCGGCTCCATGAGAATTGCTGGCCCCTAAGGTTGTGATATGGGGTTTGAGTGCTATAGGGGCTAACACATGAGATGCTTGGGCTCAGGGACATCTAGTCTTGTCTCGCTGTGGCTCTAGTTTATTTTATACAACTTTGTTTGGGGGGGAAGATGCCAAATCTTATGGTCGGTCTAACCTAACCAGAACATGAGGTACTCCACAAAAACTGTCCCATGCCCTAAACCCTGAACCCCAAACCCTAAACCCTCAGCCCTAAACCCTAAAACCTAGACCCTAAACCCTAAACCCTTCACCCTAAACCCTAAACCCTGAACCCTAAACCCTAAACCCTAAACCCTAACCCCTAAACCCTAAACCCTAAACCCTAAACCCTGAACCCCAAACCCTAAACCGCAGTGAAGCAAAAGTGTAGGCGCTTCAGGTACGCAGGCCAAGGGGCCCATCTGCGGGAGAGGGTCGGCCTGACGATGGGAATCGGGAAAATGTGGACCAGGGTAGGGTAGAGGGTTTAGGGTTTAGGGTTTAGGGTTTAGGGTTTAGGGTTTTGTTTAGGGTCTTTAGGGTTTGTAGGGTTTGCAGGGTTTGTAGGGTTTGTAGGGTCTGTAGGTTGTGCACGGTGTGTAGGGTTTGTAGGGTTTGTAGGGTCTGTAGGGTTTGTAGGGTTTAGGGCTTGTAGGGTTTAGGGTTTGTAGGGTTTGTAGGTCTTTTGGTTTGTCAGGTTTCTGGATTTAGAGGGTTCAGGGTTTTTGGGGTTTAGGGTTTTTAAGGTTTAGGGTTTTTAGGGGTTTTACAGGATTTTAGGGTTTATAGGGTTCCCTACTTGGAGGTTCATGGTACTTATAACCCTCATTGTAACTCTACTAATAAGCCCCCAATGTCCCCTAAGTAGGCTAGAAGTAGACTTATAACTGTGGGTATAAGTACCCATGAACCTCCAAGTACTAAACCCTAAACCCTCAACCCTGAACCCTAAACCCCCATAAACCCCAAACCCCAGACCCCAAACCCTAAACCCTAAACCCTAAATCCTGAACTACGAGAGCTGGCGTCCGAGCCTCGTGCACGAAGCTCCTTGAGATCGGCGATTTTCAACACGCGAATCTCTTGGAGGCCCACCTCGTTTCGAGAAGGACTCTAAACCCTAAACCCTAAACCCGAAACCCTAAACCCTAAACCGCGGCTAAGTGAGCTCCCATGCAGAGCATGGCAACAGTGGTATAGGCTCTAATCAGGCACCTTCTTTCTTACAGGGCACTGCAGGAGGGGGATAAGGTACCGAACATCCTACTCCCCTACTAAGAACCCAGGAGCCCAATACCCATTAATGAAGGAATATCCCTTAAATCATATTCAGGATCCCTTTATGATTTATTCCGTAAATAGGGGGGGGGGGGTATTGGGCTCTTTGGGTTAAGAACGAGTAAGTTGCATGTAGACACGGTGCCAAGCCTGGGCTGCGTGCGGCTAGGCGCTTGGAAACTTATCCTGCGTGGACCGTTCGGCACCCAAAGCACATGAGCTCGAGCTTCGCAACTGGTGGTTTTTGCCTCTTCCTTACTTACCTGGAGGTTCATGGTACTTCTTAACCCAACTATAACTGTACTTGTAACCCACTTATGAGCCCCTAACATGGTTGTAATTGGGTTATAGATGCAGTTATACTTAATTGGGTTATAAGTGCCATGAACCTCCAAGCAGGGATCCTCATGTGCAGCCGCTTTTGGCTTTTACCCGTGATCCTCATGTGCAGCCGTTTTTCGCTTTTACCCGTTGCAAGGATTTTCTATGGATCCATGTACCCAAAGACCTTACTTAGGGAATATTCTTAAATCATATTAAGGATCCCTTTGTAATTTAAGTTATGTTCCGTAATTAAGGGGTGTTGGGCTCTCTTGTTATGCATCGCTTCCAGCTGGGCTCCTTACGCAGCGACTGCAGGCGGTGTACGCCGAGTTGAGCTCGGGGCCGCAGGTCGAACTGATCCGTAGTTGCAAGGCTTGCCCGTGTGGATCGCTACTTGAAGCCGATAACCCTACACTGCCCTACACTGCCACTTCCTCAAGAACCCCAACAAATGAGAAAGTAAATACCAACCCCTACACTGCCATCATAAGGACGAGCATTTGAAACCAAAAAATATTGGAAGTTAATGATAAGGACGAACAAAGTTATAAATATTTTGGAAGGGCTCTTAAGCAATTAGTACAGCTCAGCACAACTGTTGGCAGGGCCGGTGGACTCTAAGATGACTCCTCTCGCACTGTGTGTCCATAATGTGGGGATTGATCTACATGATGTGCTTTGGGTCTGCGTTTTCGTTCCGCATATGTCTGGCAAGGCTCTAAGGGGGTACACGAAATAAAAAAGGTGCCTACGACTTCTGCGTGTGTCAGGTCTATGCGCCGCTGCGCTACAGTGAGGGAGTCCACACGGCCCTTGATGCAAGAAGTCGGGCGTGCGGCGAAGTGACTGGGTTTCCCCCACAATCTGGCCCTAACAGAGCTACCAGACCCCAGAGTAACCCGGGATTCTAGTGCAACCCTACACCCTCCAAAAAGGGAATAAGGCCCTACTCGGGGTTCAAGGCTGCAGTAGCTGCTTACTTTTGAACCAGGGGTTGCCTGGCCCAAGACGCAGCCATGCTTCTACGGCGGCAGCGCTGTCTGAGAAAACGCTGGTCTAAGAAAATGAGGGGCTCCAACCGAGAGCACACCGAAAAGTGCGAACACAAAGCGTACCTACATCAGAGATCCGCCTGCACGATTTTCTCATATTAGAGGCCTTGGGCGTGGGAGATGCAGGAACTTCGAGGTACCTTTAAGTTGGCCTGCAGTCCTGATCTCTACACCCGCTACTTTAAGATACCGACCATGGGATCCACATTGAACCCGACAATCACGGGTCATATTGCCCTGTACTACTCCCTAAAAGTCCATGTGCCTATATAGCATACACTTGGGCCCGAAGGGTACCGTACAAGAACCCCTTGAAGGCCCAAGTATGTACTAGATGGGTGCGTGGCTCCTTAGGGACGTTGGTTTGGGATGTCCCCCCCCTATTATGGTCTCCTATGTAGTACCTTTTTGGGGTAGTATACTAGAACCCCCTTATACCTAACCCGAAAAGGAACTACATTGGA